GACCGGCACGATCGACTCGCGCGCGTTATTAGCTATTCCACGAAGAATATACTAATCGAATTGCCGGTGCCTGTTTGCATTCACGTAGATGTAAAGTATATAGGCAACTTTAAAAACACGAATTTTTAGAGCTACTTTTTCGTTTGTGTAGCGGCCTTGGCGGAACTGAATGTTGTGCCGCCGTGTGTTGATTGGTGTGATGTCAACACGAAACCACGCGCAGTATGGGACACGGTCTCGCGGCTATGTTTACTACTGCCGGATTAAAGCCGCTGCTAATGACGTGCGCTATTTAAAGACCGCGTGCATATTAGCATTGTTTTGGCGCGGCGCGCGTTTGCTCACAGTTTTGTCGTTTCCTCGACGTTTATCAAATACAAACCGGGCGATTGCACGCTGCGGGTTTCTTTCTCTAAATTTTAAATTAAAATACCGCGCACTGGGGCAGCTGCGAGGAAAATCTTGATAAATGAAGCACTGACGCGCTACCCAATTAACTGCACTGCGCAGTTGTGTTTTGTGTCACATGCAGATGCGAGAATTACCGCAAGAGTACATTAACATTGCGCGCAATTAAAACTAACCGAAACTGTTTAAAAGTGCGGTTTAACACGGCCATAAAGTATTATTAGTAGTTGAAGTTGTTGCAATGTGAATGAAACAAAATAGTCTCATGTCTGGTCAAGGTTGATGGATTAGTGAGTTGAAGCTGCGCTGCTATTTGTGCCCACGAGCGTTTCGATCGTTGTCGAGGTGGATGACTTGTTACATCACCGGGGCAACGGAGAGTCAACTATCACTTTCGTCTAGTTAGACAACCCAAATATCAACCAAGCAATACAATATATATTGCGGAACGTATAAATTTTGAGACACGGCGCGTGTTTTTATTAGTGTCTAATGATTTTTATAGGAATTATATCTATAGATTTGTAAGTTATTTATAGCATGGCCTAATACAGATAGCTGTGTCGAAATCAAGTTGATTGACTGATTGCTTGCGCAAGACTGGCTCCAGCCTCTGGAGAATCACCTGTAGAGGTGTTCAATCACCGGTTGATTGGTCACCGCCAATATTAGCTACAGCAGCCAGCTAGTGAATGAACTTTGTTTGTGTGGGTATTGTTGTGACGTTGACGGAGAGTGCGTCCCAGACGTAATTCGATAGTCACGTAGGCGGAGGACATTTTTTGCTCCCTGTTTTTGTTTTGCAATTACAGTAAAAAAATAAATTACCTTGAATATTCGGTCGAAGGTAATGCTGAAACTTATGCAAATAAAACAAATATCGCACCCATTTTCACGTAGTGATAAGATAATCTGTTTGTTTTGACAGCGCATCAGACTAAACAATAGTGCTTGATCTTTACATTTATTTTTCTGATATTTTAAATTCCTGGATATGAAAATGTTTTGTAAAATTTACGAAACATTTGAGAGCTGTGTTTATGAATTACTGATAAGAATAAACAGGTTGTTTTTCGTGTTATGCAACAATGCACATAAAAATAACAACATGACAATTTAAATAAAAATGAGTATATTTCGAATAGGTTTGAAACCAGATTGATCATAACATTTTCACGCACATTTCTCTTGATTTAATGTGGCATTTGACATCAAATGCTGTTCTGTCAGTAGCGTTCGGTCGTAAATGTTTGATTTATGTGGCGAGTCACATGTGTCAAGAATTTCCACACTAGGATATAGGCAATATTTATATATCACATGCGTTTATCGCATCGACAAACGGTAAAAATGCACATAAAAACACCTGAATGTGCACATATAAACCAGCATACCAACCTTGAACCAATTTTTTGCCTGATATGTGAAGGTATCTGGTTTGATAATAATTTTGAAATAATTAATTTCTGGTTTGGCGTTCGAAAATAAATCTCCGCGTGAAATCATGTTTGTTTACTTTATGAATCATCAACGAGCGTAAAGTTAAAATGAAAATTAAACATTAACATTGATTTAATTACGAATTTAATTACTACATACTATTTTTTATAACTGTCAGCTGGGTTATTCATAGATTGAAATGATAGTAATTTCAATTTCGATACCTGTTATGGCTCATTTTTGCGCAGCGCGCAAGTGATCTTTTGTTTGTGTGCATTCGGCACGCGCGTTTTGTTGTACATTCGGTGATCGCAACGAAGCAGAAACAATCGAAGAATGATCATGTCATCAGACAATAACAAAACTGAATATTTCATATTTTGTGAGACACGTTGTTTCAGCAAAATCGCGTGACATGTAACGTGAACTCTTTTCAAAACATTTGTTTCTTTAATGAACACGAATTTATTGTAATACAGTATTATTTTAATTGTGTCAAAAGAAGTCGTGATACTTGTATGTAGCCCCATGTTTACCTCGAACAAGGAACCAGTTTCTTCGTACTTTCGCAGCTCTGACTGACTCATCATGGTCTCTTGTGTATTCTATTTTTAGCAGCGCCACTACAGACTGTCACCTGTCATTCGTTTACGTCCGATTGCACAACCAGACAAATTGGAACATACGCCCATATGCATACAACACACGCCGAGTGTGTTTGCATTTACCTTACACCAGTCCATTAGCGAGTCGTCGCAAACTTAGCACCACAGCGTAAACAATGAGCAGCGGTCGCAGCTTGCTGCACTTGCAGCTGCAGCGCGAGATTGGATACCACCATCAGAATGTTCACAATGGCGGTCATGCGGCGCATACTGGCCTAATGGGTGGTGCACATCACGCCCATAATCTACAGGGTCTGCATCACGCCTCACATTTTGCGCAACAATTGACGCGCGCATGCAACAACCATGCCGCCGGTACGGCGGCCACCTCCAGTACTGAAAGTTGTCATGATTCGTCCTCGTCGTCCTCGCGCACGCCTACTGATAGCATTGATATCTCCTATGGTTCCTCCCCGAGGACTAACGGTGCGACTAGTCCGTACTCTTCCAGCCCGAAAGTGGCATATCTACACAAAAATCATAATCACCACCACCACTCGATTCAGGAGCTGATAAGACACTTTTCGAAACGCATGTCCAGTTGGCGGGCGGATGGCGGAGGCAGGAGGAATAGCTGTAGCGTTAGTGAGGAGAAACATTCTCACAAGGAAGAGGAGGAGTTTAGAGGGCGGAGCAAAAGTTTGGATGGGCAGGCTACACGCCGGAAAATCAGCGACTGTGAGGCCACCTATCGGATTTATGACCGCATATTAAAAGAGGGTAATAAATTGGTTAATTTATATCCATGGTTACTAAAAAAACATAAATGTCAAAACATCCGAACGCATTTTGATGTTCTATAAAACAAGGAAATAGATTTCCTTTGTTGGTTGAGAATCTAGCGGGAGTTTGTGGAGGATGCGACGGAAATAGCATGACCCTCAGATCCGCACGGGTTAGTATGGATCAGGGGCGCAAAAGACGTTTGACGCTAATCCGATGCGATGTCTCGTGCGCTTTCAGTTCTCTACGCCACGGAGTTTGAAGCTGAAACGCATCCGAGGAAATTGTTTACTTTCACTTACTTAGTTTCCAGAGTTAAATATTGTTTTAAATAAGTGATATCATCACAAAAAGAAGGCAAGAATAATATTGATGACTCATGACGACTTGATGTTGAGCGTTTAATTAATTTTTTAAGATGTAAATTAAATTACGATGAGTCATTTGACGACTACAATACTAGATTGTGGTAATTTAAAAATTGGTTGTCATTCGATGCAAATTTTCGTTTTACATGGATTTCCGTTTTTAATGCGGCACGTGGCCATGCTGGTTAAAGTTGTCACTATTGTTTTGATTGTCTTGATCAATTGTCCTTCGGATACGTTTATATCGCGCCGCGAAGCGTAAACAGGACATATATTAAAATGTCGTCAGAAGACTGCGAAAGAATTCGCTGACGAGTGCTCATTTTGTTTCGTTCCGTTCCCCGTCCGAGTGTAAATAATACGTTTCGCGTTTGTCGTTTAATTAATTATTGTAACTGTATTACTGTAACTTCTATGTACGCAGGGAATTTTTGCTCATCAGCGAAAAAGTTGCAACAAAAAGTTGTTTTTGTTATTTTTTGCGCTTCATTTGCAATGTTTTTATGCTTTGACAATAGGCAACTTATATCACATCAAAACATTCGTTTCGATTTTTTTTTTCAAGCAAAAACAGAGTACTTTTATGTTCAAATGAGTCATTATAATATTTTTTTAATTTTTGTAACGTGTGCAATTCACTGCGAAATTGGAGTTGAAATTAGAACGTAGGCAACTTAATTTGCTGCCAAACAAATTAAATTTTTAACATTCGAAGCTTTATTGAATTTGACAATTTGTAGTACTATATAATTTTGTATATTACTGCGACCACGTCAACAGTTGCGGTACTGTATGTATTGTTTGTTTGGCGGATTTACCCTGAATAATCCAGGGTTAAATTATAATTAATTCGGTATTGAAGTTGTTTTGCCATGCGAGCACTTTGCAACTTTCGACATCATTAATTGGAGCTTTGTGAAGTGAGGAAGGTCTAAAATTAACAATAATTAAGATGTTTGCTAATTACAAATATCAATTGACTTGTTATGATGGTATAATTAGTGTAAACAGCAATACAATTAAATCACTCAAACTATCTAAAACCATCTTGAACACAATCATTTATCAATGTTGTCACACTCTCTGACAATTGTTACTTTGTAGCTAATTAAATAATTGGCATGTTCAATGGAAAAGACATTAAGGATTGACATATGCTTTTGTTTGGTTTCCTGATTGAATTTGATGCTCGAAGCTGTTTTGAAACGTCCCGAAGTTTTAACTAGATGAAAGCGGGCAAACGCAGTTATTGAAACATTGAATTACTCGGTGGGCATTTTCGCGGAATATCTGTGTTGGTTTTCCTGAATTATAAACGCTTGAGTGCTTTGCTTTGACAAAGTTGACGCAGTGATTTTTGGATCCGCGCTAATTTAATCGTGTTTTGCTTTCACAGGAGCGCACCTGCGCCAGAAGTCATTGGATCCAGAACGGCGGCGGCAGTCGTTGGGCACCATACTTCCGCATCGCGCTTCCGACGCTTTCCTCGATCCGCATCACGCCGCTATCCTGTTTCGGGATTCACGTGGGGTGAGTAAATTTTATTTATTTGTTGTTTTGCGAGACATTTAAAGATTTCACTGTGCAATGTCAAGGACGTTTAAGTGTCACGACCCCAAACTAACAACTCGCGTAGAACGCAAAGTGGTGCTCGAGAATCGATTTTCTGTTTCAAACCCGGAAGTGAATGACTCAAGTCACGTAACACCATGACCGACTTATGACTTTTCCGCTTTGCGCTTATTTTGCAAGCGCCGGGTCGCTCACTTTATTTTGATTTTCGCATGGAATTAAATTTTACGAAGTCTGTGTGGAAGGACTCTGTTGATTGCATTATTAAAATGCTGATCGATTCCCGCGAGAGAACTCGTTCAGCCCCCGCATGCCCCTCGAGCTCATTAAGCGCAACTCTCGCTGATGCGATGCGCATTATTCCGCTTTTGGCCGATATTTACATTTCACTGGGCACACAACGATGATGCTGGAAAAAAGTACCTTGAAAGTTATCACATTGATTATGTGAATGTCAAAAGTTGTCGTTGGCGACAACGCCATCCTGTGGGACGCTCATCGCTCAGAATAGAAATTGACATTTTGGTAAAAATAAATTTACCATAATAACAACAAAACAACAACACCGTAAACCTAGACCTTGGAACATTACGCATGTTGATTATGATTCAGAAATAATTAGGCCTAGGTTTATAATTGGTTGCTTAGCTTTTGTTTTGTTTTCTTGCTTTTGTAGACCCATCAAATCCGCATCACGTCTAACTTCGCTAATAATATTTGCTTTGTGTTAATTATACGGGAACTCGAACATTGAGTAATTTTATTCTGGGCAAACACTGTAGCATGAAAATAATGTTGACTTAGTTTTATTGATGCGTGAAGTGCAGCTTGATGTTTTTATTGTTTCTACTTGCAATATTTTTGACTTTTTCTTGTTTGAAAATGCTTTGATAACTCAACTTCAAATATTTGCCTAAAGCATCATATTCATCAATAAACTTCTAAATATTACGTAATCGTCTTGCCTTACACGTGGAGTACGTAATAGTCAATCATTTTTATGATTTTTTGTGGATATCTTTTACCACATGTGTAAACATTAAAATATCTTGTTTAGTTGCGCATTTATATCGAGAAATTATCACATGTTTCATGTTTCACACCTAATCGATGGCCGGATTAGCGATTGGTCCAGTCGATTCGCTCGCGACGCCCTCCCCAAGCCTTTGAAATCGGTCACAGATTCGAACTTTTCGTAACATGATGGTAAATGGTTGCCACGGAATTCCTCGCTTTCAGTTAACTCATGTTAGTCGATGTACGATAATGTTGTTAACGCGTCGAGAATCGATAGAAGTTAGATTTTCTTGTGTATCGTTAGCGTCCATCATCATGGGTCATTAAGATAAAATACGAATGTTGTCTTATTTTAATGAAGTACAAGTGTTTTCACGAAAAACAAACGTGCTTTTCTTTTATTTTAATAATAAACTCGAGTGATGTGGGTGTGGGTGGGGTGTTTGCGTTGATCTAACGATTACGGAGTGCGAAAACAAAATTATAAATCATTTTTAAAAATAGTTTCGTGCTGGACGCGACTGGAATCGCGATTCGTACTCGCTTTGATTCTCTCGGTGTGTTTGCGCGCGGTTATCGCACAAAAAAAGTGCGCAGAACTCGATGAATTGTGCACAAACCTGTTGCGAACTTGCACTCGCGCGACTTAGCAAGCGACAAGTTGTAATAACGATAATATAATCATTTGGTGAGTGCGCGCACCGCTTGGTATTAACATTTGATGCTGATTTGTGCGATCCGTTTAATAACCTTGAGCAGCGTGTGCTCCGCGCGCGGTGTAATAAATGCAAAACTCAATATTTGCCATCGCGAGTGTTGTCGGCCCGCGTGTGACGCAACTGCACTCCGACAATGTGCGGTTAATTAGCACAAAGCGTCATTTTTGTTAATATTTGCCTGGCAAGAGCGAAGACAAGACTTGATTTGGGATGTATAGACGAGTGATTTCGATTGACACGGCGCGCGCGAATAAGTGCTGTTGCGCCTCGTCACCGCCCCCGCTTACGCCACCGGCAGGCAGCGCCTGGACATGGTATTCCAAACTCGCTAATCATCTGAAGCGCAGGCAGATAAATTTATCATCGAAGTGTTTTTTTAAAAAGGTCCTTTACATTTTTAAAATTGGTTATTTTTGTTGATTCTGTTAGTGTCGGTTTTGATAAATTGTTTGTTTGTTTTTTACAGTTACCAGTTGTCGATCCGTTCCTGGAGAAGGTGAACATTTCGGATTTAGGTGAGTTTTGTTATGTTTTGTGAGTTGCTCCTGACATCCGTCTGATGCCACTGCCAATCCATTCATTTCCTTTTATCCCAGCCATTAGCGTAAAATTGCTGCCAACAAAAAACAGGACGCCGTTTCACACCGCGTCAAAAAACACACGATATGAAAATACATCGTAAAAAACCGTAATCCATTGCACAATTTGATCCCAATGTTGCGTGCTGCGCGAGTCGTGTCGATTTTCAATGTCGATATTTTCGCACGCGTTTGGAAAGTTGGCGTCCCGACGCCAGGCGAAATGGAATTGCGGTGTGGCGTCCCGCGGTCCGTTTTTGGCACATGCACCGGGGGCCGCCGCCAATAATAGCGCTCGTAGTTCGCACTCGATGTTTCGGCGCCGCGACTCGCGCATACGAAAAACACGAAAGTTTTCAAAACTTGTGAATTAAACGCCGCCGCCGCTTGTGATACGCTGTGATAACGTAATTGAGATGCGGGTCCTCGCGGCGGGTGATGTTGCGCCTGCACTACTACTCCAATCACGTCCTATCCGCCATCCCCGAAGAGGACGATGAGGTATACCGCATCGATCAGATCAAGGAATTCGAACAAGTATCGCAAGCCTACAAGGAGTGGCTATCTGATTTACTGCAGAAAGGTATCCCATCGGCTGTAGAAGGAAACGCGCGTAAAAATAGACACGGAATAACTAAAATTATGAGCAAGATGTTGCTTGGCATTGGTCAAGTGCGCGGTTGTATACCCATGCCAAACTCCTCTTTTATTGATGTGTTGATTAATGTTTTTAATTTACCTATACAATAGCTAATTCTCTGTAATATTATTTGTAGAAGAAGATGAGTCTCAAATCTTCGTTAAATTCTTCAAATTTCACAAATGCTACGACCTGATACCGACCTCTGCAAAACTGGTCGTCTTCGACACCCAACTGCTGGTGAAAAAGGCATTCTTTGCACTGGTTTATAATGGGGTGCGTGCAGCACCGCTGTGGGACAGTTCACGACAGGAGTTTGTCGGAATGCTGACCATTACAGACTTCATTAAGATTCTGCGCATGTACTACAAGTCGCCGGACGTCGCTATGGAGGAGCTGGAGGAACACAAGCTGGACACGTGGCGGCACGTGCTAAAGGACCAGCGTCCCCTTACCGCCATCAATCCTCACGCGTCCCTTTACGATGCAATCCGTACGCTAATTCAGAACCGAATTCATCGGCTGCCCGTCGTTGATCCGGACACCGGCAACGTGCTCTACATTCTCACGCACAAGCGTATACTGCGCTTCCTCTTCTTGTACATCAATGAGTTGCCTAAACCGAGCTACATGAGCAAGACGTTGCGGGAGGTCAAGATCGGGACCTATGACGACATCGAGACAGCTTCGGCAGATACGTCCATCATTCTAGCGTTAAAGAAGTTTGTCGAGAGACGTGTGTCAGCGTTGCCGATTGTGGATACCGAGGGTCGATTAGTTGATATATATGCCAAGTTTGATGTCATTGTAAGTTTATTAAGCGCATAGATTTCTTTAATTTTTACGTACTATTTGCATTATTCATTTTAGAACTTGGCCGCTGAGAAAACCTACAATGACCTGGATGTATCTCTGAAGAAAGCCAACGAACATCGCAACGAATGGTTTGAGGGCGTACAGAAATGCAAGATGGACGAGACGCTCTTTACGATTATGGAACGCATTGTTCGTGCTGAAGTACACAGATTGGTGGTTGTCGATGACGACGATAAAGTCATTGGCATCATTTCTCTGTCCGATCTTTTATTGTATCTTGTACTCAGGCCGTGTGGTGAAGATGGATCACCTGGAAGCTCTGCTTCTGTTCGTGCACAGGTTAGTATTTTCATAATGTTTTAAATAGTATGTATATCTAATTATAATGATTTAATTTGCAGGATACTGAGTTATCAGCAGCGACAGAAGAAGCTGTTTCCGAGACAATCCCCGAGGAAGAAGAGCACGTACCTGAAGTAGAAGCGGTGGTAGAAGAAGCCGAACCCGATGATGTGCCCGACGATGAAAGCAAACACGAGGACTCGGACAATAGCTACCCAGATTCGCCCATCATCGAGAAGACGCCGTCGACGCTTAACCAAGAGAATCCAATCTTTCGCGAAGTAACTGTATCCGGCGGTGATTAAACAACTATTTCTCTCTTGCAACCTCCAACTTCAGCCGACTGACGGCATAGTAAAAAAGCGAACGCATTAATTTATTGATCGCAATCAAAATCAAGCACGAACAGCGATAAACAAACATAGCACGGGAACGATGCGGGTACAGAAAACTTTTTCGATATGTGTTTGAAATTGGGGCTTTCCTGTCGCTTGCCCTTATTATCTAATAATGTAATTCACCTCACCACCGATTTCACTTGCAAGCCTCAACTTCAGCGCCGCTAAGGAATGATGGATTTTTTAGTAGAGTTGACTTTGACCTCTTCGATATGATATTTGAAACGATTGATATCTGCGTGACGTGCACTTCAGATATTCGACTATAAGATTTATACACATGGAGTACGTTAGTTTTCTACATTTTTGTACTTAATTGTATATTGTACCAAAGACTGTGTATCTGAGTGCACAACTCACGCAGCCATTTTAGGATTATGTTAGTTTTTTGTTGTTATTTTTTTGGTTTTGTCTGGGAGCTGTAACAAATGTGCTACACATACCCCCCATTCATACAAACGTGCATGTGCTTAAACAAGAATTCAAACTTACTTGCTGTTTGATAATGATGGTGAAGCAAAATAATACCGAAACCATAAGTTACTCTAAGAATAACAATTTAAGTATAAGGTAATTGTTTAATTTGAAGAGAGAGGAACAAGAGTTGCATGAAGTGACTTCTTTGTTTAAGTAGTTTCCAATGTTACATTTTACAGCATACTTGAGAAATCATTGATTACAACTAACAAGCTGCATCTGCATTGTAGCTAAATTGTATGAACACATAGAATTTGCACATTAAAAGCAGTGTTTGGTGACTTCACAGCTAAATTGGATGCCGATAGAATACAATACGCAATTACTTATTAAATAAATAATTAAACTAACATGAGGGCGTCGGTCGCGTGCGAATGCACGCTTGAGGGACAAACAGTGCTTGCCATTTTAGGGCAACATATTGAAACACTATACGCGCATACTGCATTCAAAGAGATAGTTGAATAAAATGCACGGTTAACATTTTTGTATGATAATGCGCATTGCGGAACTGCGATACGATGAGATACTATTTAATTACTGTACAGTTAAAATCTACAACTAGAATATTATAATTAACAAGCAACAAAGCAAGACGATGAAGCAAAATACAAACGATTATGATAGCATGTTAACCAGAATACAGGACACGGTGTGTAGAAACAAATCCTGGTATGATAGTGAGAATGTTTTATAAAACAAATAATTGGTGATTTTCTAATAAGTATAAGTATTTATTGCTACTCGATGCGCGAATCACCTGCATGAACATTTGAATGAAGTTGCTGTGCGACGTGATACCCAGTGCGCCGCCGAAATCAAGATGTTCGTACTTCTTTGCGAAGAGATGATTCAGTGTAGATGTTTAAGGTGTACAACGATGATAGTGATTTTTGTTAGTCTCTTGGAACCTTAAAAAATAATAGCCTATATTGAATATAGTAATTTGGCTTCAGAAGTAATTCGAAACAAAGATGATATATAAAGCAAAGGCGTTTTAATTATTTTGTGATAATCACCGCATCAAATACTTCCAGAGTTTCCTTGTCCTTTTTTTGGTTTGAAGTATTAATAAAATAAATACACACCGAACACAATAACAAGTTTACTAAATTTAACAAACCCATAAAACTTATAGTTTAAACGGCAAAGTTACAGGCATATCAGGCATCTTATGGGAGGTATCTGTGTGGAGCATACACTGCACAACTTTTACTTATGTTGTGTTGTTGTTTTTAAAAAGTTGAATAAAGTAGAACTATAAATAGAAGAATCAAATATAAATAGTAAAAACACTCGGTGGTCGAGTGGAGACGTGCACCTGCTGGCATGCCAGCAGTCACGGATCGAATCTCAGGTATAGAAGGCATTTTTCTCAAATATAAAAATATCAGGTGCAATTTGGGTTGCAACGAAATATAAGAGAAATTGAAATACAAGTGAAGGCAATATGAGAAATATGAAAGCAAGTGGAGGAGCGGGAACAGAGAAATAGAAGAAGAACAAGGAGAAGCAGAGAAGAGTAAGAGACAGAAGGAAGAGAATAGAGTAGAGAAGAGGAGGAGATAGAAGAAAGAGCAACAGGGGTGGATGAGATTTTTAAATTTTTTGACACGTGTCGTTATAAGACAGTCTACGGTCGATCGCCCACTGCTTCGTTCCGTCCATTGCTCCCGGCCCAACCTACAGCTACGATATCTCTGCGCTTCATCCCCGAAATTATCAGGCATATCAACAATTTTTATGGTGGGGGATCACCCCCAGAGAGAGGGAACTCCTTATAAGGACAATCCTTTTAAGATCTGTAAAAATATTTCTAAGTTTTAAGTCGCCTCAAGAGAGGGGACACTTATAAATATTCTTACAAGTTCTGACCTGTAGCTGAAATGAAAGAAGGAGCACACAAATCACACAGGATACCTTAACAATTTTTATAGTGGGGATCATCCCCTGAGAGAGGGAACTCTCTTAGAGACCTGTTCCTGAAATGATAGAAGGGGTACGCTCAAAGCATAAGACATATTATTTCTGAACATTTCTTTATTAACAATAGAATACAAGTTTAGATTTCACAAGTCAACAAAATACATGTCGCCATATTGAAACAGGACTTACGACCCGTTTAGCCGCACACATGCCAGCAAGTACTACTTCATAATGTTCTACTGGGATAATGAAACTAGTAAATAGCCAATTTTCTAGGCGATTGAAAATGGAAACGAATATACAGGGTGTTACAAAAAGAAAATTTTAAGTGTAAACAAAAAACTCTCAACACTACAAATATCATTCATTTTTCACCCGAGGCTCCGGGAAACTAACATACAGGGTGTTCCAAAAAGAAAATTCAAAGGGGAATGAGGAAAACCCTAAAAACAACAGTTGAAGCAAGATTTTCATGGGCACAAAGGAAAATCAATATACAGGGTGTTTCAGAAAGAAAATCTCAAATTCAAAACAGAGAACACCCAAAACTCACAAATACAGGCGATTTTCTACGTAGTGTTAGGAGAACGAATATACAGGGTGTTACAAAAAGAAAATTTTAGAAACTACAAAGGAAGTCAATATTCACAATACGAAGAGGGAAATTTACAAATTAACAACAATATTTCAATATAAAATCAGAGATTTTACCCAAAAATCATCGGAAATGGAGCAAAAAGGTGCTACAAAATTAAAACACTTACATTTTAATATATTATGAATATATATTTATTAATTGATGATAGCATCAACTGTATAAGGTAAGCGACGAGTAAAGCATCATCATAAATTGATAGAATATCCGGCGGAAACCATTTAAATCAACACCCGGCAAGCGACGGCGCGTAACAACACAGTGGTTAAAGACGATAAAAATAACTATTTCTTTGTAAATATTAAAATATACTAAGGTTGCGAAAACTAAAAACTATTCAACGTTCAGATTTTATTTCAACAATAAATTATTCATTTAATGATGCAATTCGACGGCCGACGGCAAAGTGAGCGCGGTCGACAACACGAATATTGTCATTTTAATAATCCTCAGATAATTTTAAAAACCGTGCTTGTAATAATTAAATCAAGCATGTTATTTTTGGGAATTTTCGGAAACGCGACTAAGAAGAATTCGGATAAACATTCCACCACGTGTTTGTAATCTACAAAATTAATATCCCTCAGATAGAATAACTAATTTAAGTTAAATCCCCTTAACTTTCCGCGATAAATTTTATTTATCCACCTACCTGTGCATTGATGAGGAGATTTTCTATCCTGAAATATATTCTATCAACTGAAAACTCGCGCAGGGATTAACGTACACTTATTTCTCACTTAAGAAGACTCTAACCGCCATAAATTATTAAACAAAACAGGCACACATGTCCGTTCCGAATATTTAGCTGATGGCCGAAAGAATACACGACGATTAATCCAATTAAAATCTTAAAACGTAAGGCGACCAGAGAGACACGTTCGCGGACCTCGCGGTGAAACGACTGCCGTGTACGCCGTGCGAAGCCAGGTACAAGGCAGGTACGCAGCGATAACACGCGTCACTCGAACAAAAAAAGTTGTTTATACACAAACGTACTGATAAACACGTAGTTGAAAATACTAAACTAAAATTTACAATATTGAAATAGCACATATACACGGAATCTACTGTTACTTTCAATATTTGTCGGGCTTAAGAAAAGAATACATTGACTTTGGGATGTAATAAGATTGAGAAAAACCGCAATTTAATTTACCGTTACAAATAAATAATTTATTGCCTTCGTAAAAGTTTACTGTGTACCTCAGATAATTAAGTAATTGGTGATCACAATATCGGGCCTAATTTAAATATTCACTTCAATGAGCAAAAGGGGGTGCTGCGTCATGTTTTTTTGAGTATTTTTGGTAAGGAATATCATTTAACCTGAAAACGTTAGCGACCAACGGATTAAATATTATGAAATTTTGGAAAATTCTCTATCAAATAAAAGTATAAAATAATTAAATTTCCTGGGCTAAAACGTCCAAAAATAATTTATATTTTATGAATACGACTCACTTCTACCGCTACCTTCGTACGGTGCCCTGAACACGAGTCACTTCTACCGCTACCCTCGTACGGTGCCATGAACACGAGTCACTTCTACCGCTACCTTCGTACGGTGCCCTAAACACGAGTTACTTCTACCGCTACCTTCGTACGGTGCCCTAAACACGAATCACTTCTATCGCCACCCTGCTACAGTACACCGAATGAGACTCCACTAAATACCGACTACTACAGCGCAAACACACAACTTTCAATATAACTCGCGTATCGGAATTTTTTCGCAATAAATTTCAATACAGGGAAATAAAGAATTAAATTCTGCATCTGGGAAAATTATTCCGAACTTATTGTGACACCGCGTTCGCGTGTTATAAATTACAAAAAAACTACAATCCCAAGCGCTACGAGTACTAGTGCGTAAACACACAACGTTCAATATAACTCGCGTTACGGAATATTCCTGCAATAAATTGTGATACAGGGAAATAAAGAATTAAATTCCGCATCTAGGAAAATTATTACGAACCAAGTTTAAGACCGCGTTCGCGAGTTATAATAAAAAAACTACAATTCCTAGCGCAACGAGTTCGAATACAAGCGCGTATACACACATCTATCACTATAACTCGCGTTACGGAATTTTCTCACAATAAATTTCGATACAGGGAAATAAACAATTAAATTCCGCATCTGGGAAAATTATTCCGAACTAAGTTTAAGACCGCGTTCGCGAGTTATAATAAAAAAACTACAATTCCTAGCGCAACGAGTACAAGTGCGTATACACACAACTGTCATTATAACTCGCGTTATGGAATTTTCTCGCAATAAATTTCGAAACAAGGAAATACAGAATTAAATTTCACATCTGGAAAAATTATTACGAACCAAGTTTAAGACCGCGTTCGCGAGTTATAATAAAAAAACTACAATTCCTAGCGCAACGAGTACAAGTGCGTATACACACAATTATCATTATAACTCGAGTTACGGAATTTTCTCACAATAAATTTCGATACAGGGAAATAAAGAATTAAATTCCGCATCTGGGAAAATTATTCCGAACTAAGTTTAAGACCGCATTCGCGAGTTATAATAAAAAAACTACAATTCCTAGCGCAACGAGTTCGAATACAAGCGCGTATACACACAACTATCACTATAACTCGCGTTACGGAATTTTCTCACAATACATTTTGATACAGGGAAATAAAGCATTAAATTCCGCATCTGGGAAAATTATTACGAACTAAGTTTAAGACCGCGTTCGCAAGTTATAATAAAAAAACTACAATTCCTAGCGCAACGAGTACAAGTGCGTATACACACAATTATCATTATAACTCGCGTTACGGAATTTTCTCACAATAAATTTCGATACAGGGAAATAAAGAATTAAATTCCGCATCTGGGAAAATTATTCCGAACTAAGTTTAAGACCGCGTTCGCGAGTTATAATAAAAAAAACTACAATTCCTAGCGCAACGAGTTCGAATACAAGCGCGTATACACACAACTATCACTATAACTCGCGTTACGGAATTTTCTCGCAATAAATTTCGATACAGGGAAATAAAGAATTAAATTCCGCATCTGGGAAAATTATTCCGAACTAGGTTTAAGACCGCGTTCGCAAGTTACAATAAAAACTACAATTCCTAGCGCAACGAGTACAAGTACGTATACACACAACTATCATTATAACTCGCGTTACGGAATTTTCTCGCAATAAATTTTGATACAGGAAAATAAAGAATTAAATTCCGCATCTGGGAAAATTATTACGAACCAAGTTTAAGACCGCGTTCGCGAGTTATAATAAAAAAACTACAATTCCTAGCGCAACGAGTTCGAATACAAGCGCGTATACACACATCTATCACTATAACTCGCGTTACGGAATTTTCTCACAATAAATTTCGATACAGGGAAATAAAGAATTAAAATCCGCATCTGGGAAAATTATTCCGAACTAAGTTTAAGACCGCGTTCGCAAGTTACAATAAAAAAACTACAATTCCTAGCGCAACGAGTACAAGTACGTATACACACAACTATCATTATAACTCGCGTTACGGAATTTTCTCGCAATAAATTTTGATACAGGAAAATAAAGAATTAAATTCCGCATCTGGGAAAATTATTCCGAACTAAGTTTAAAACCGCATTCGCGAGTTATAATAAAAAAACTACAATTCCTAGCGCAACGAGTTCGAATACAAGCGCGTATACACACAACTATCATTATAACTCGCGTTACGGAATTTTCTCGCAATAAATTTTGATACAGGAAAATAAAGAATTAAATTCCGCATCTGGGAAAATTATTACGAACCAAGTTTAAGACCGCATTGGCGAGTTATAATAAAAAAACTACAATTCCTAGCGCAACGAGTACAAGTACGTATACACACAACTATCATTATAACTCGCGTTACGGAATTTTCTCGCAATAAATTTTGATACAGGAAAATAAAGAATTAAATTCCGCATCTGGGAAAATTACTACGAACCAAGTTTAAGACCGCATTCGCGAGTTATAATAAAAAAAACTACAATTCCTAGCGCAACGAGTTCGAATACAAGCGCGTATACCTACAACTATCATTATAACTCGGGTTACGAAATTTTCTCGCAATAAATTTCGATACAGGGAAATAAAGAATCAAATTCCGCATCTAGGAAAATTATTCCGAACTAAGTTTACGACCGCGTTCGCGAGTTATAATAAAAAAACTACAATTCCTAGCGCAACGAGTACAAGTGCGTATACACACAACTGTCATTATAACTCGCGTTATGGAATTTTCTCGCAATAAATTTCGAAACAGGGAAATAAAGAATTAAATTCCGCACCTGGGAAAATTATTCCGAACTAATTTTGAGACCGCGTTCGCAAGTTATAATAAAAAAAACTACAATTCCTAGCGCAATGAGTTCGAATACAAGCGCGTGTACACACAACTATCATTATAACTCGTGTTACGGAATTTTCTCGCAATAAATTTTGATACAAGGAAATAAAGAATTAAATTCCGCATCTGGGAAAATTATTACGAACCAAGTTTAAGACCGCATTGGCGAGTTATAATAAAAAAACTACAATTCCTAGCGCAACGAGTACAAGTACGTATACACACAACTATCATTATAACTCGCGTTACGGAATTTTCTCGCAATAAATTTTGATACAGGAAAATAAAGAATTAAATTCCTCATCTGGGAAAATTACTACGAACCAAGTTTAAGACCGCATTCGCGAGTTATAATAAAAAAAACTACAATTCCTAGCGCAACGAGTTCGAATACAAGCGCGTATACCTACAACTATCATTATAACTCGCGTTACGAAATTTTCTCGCAATAAATTTCGATACAGGGAAATAAAGAATCAAATTCCGCATCTAGGAAAATTATTCCGAACTAAGTTTACGACCGCGTTCGCGAGTTATAATAAAAAAACTACAATTCCTAGCGCAACGAGTACAAGTGCGTATACACACAACTGTCATTATAACTCGCGTTATGGAATTTTCTCGCAATAAATTTCGAAACAAGGAAATACAGAATTAAATTTCACATCTGGAAAAATTATTACGAACCAAGTTTAAGACCGCGTTCGCGAGTTATAATAAAAAAACTACAATTCCTAGCGCAACGAGTACAAGTGCGTATACACACAACTGTCATTATAACTCGCGTTATGGAATTTTCTCGCAATAAATTTCGAAACAGGGAAATAAAGAATTAAATTCCGCACCTGGGAAAATTATTCCGAACTAATTTTGAGACCGCGTTCGAAAGTTATAATAAAAAAAACTACAATTCCTAGCGCAATGAGTTCGAATACAAGCGCGTGTACACACAACTATCATTATAACTCGTGTTACGGAATTTTCTCGCAATAAATTTTGATAGAAGGAAATAAAGAATTAAATTCCGCATCTGGGAAAATCATTACGAACTAAGTTTAAGACCGGGTTCGCGAGTTATAATAAAAAAAGTACAATTCCTAGCGCAACGAGTTCGAATACAAGCGCGTATACACACAACTATCATTATAACTCGCGTTAGGGAATTTTCTCGCAATAAATTTTGATACAGGGAAATAAAGAATTAAATTCCGCATCTGGGAAAATTATTCCGAACTAAGTTTAAGACCACGTTCGCGAGTTATAATAAAAAAAAACGTTTAACTATCCTATATAGAGAATATTATAGAGAATAGTTTGTAGATTAAGACGCTGCGATCAGATCCTATTTATCTTTTTTAGTTTACGAGATATTCGCGATTGAATAAAATGGGCAAAAATTGATAAATGTCACATTTTAGCACTTTTAGTCGCGTTTTTCGACCTTTTACTCTAGGAAATATAATTATTTTTTATTTTTATCTGATAGAGAATTTTCCAATCTTTCATAATCAACAATTCGTTGGTAGCTATCGCTTTTAGTTTAAGAGATATTAATTATCAAAAATCGTCGAAAAAAAGTATCAAGCACCCCTTGGCAATTTTTTCTTAAGAATCAAAATTTCATCTCTCAGATTTCCGTTTTAACTATCCTCTCTGATAGAGAATAGTCCGTACATTAAGTCGCTGAGATCAGATCCTATTTATCTCTTTTAGTTTACGAGATATTCGCGATTGAATAAAATGGGCAAAAATTGATAAATGTCACATTTTAGCACTTTTAGTCGCGTTTTTCGACCTTTTACTGTAGGAAATATAATTATTTTTTATTTTTATCTGATAGAGAATTTTCCAATCTTTCATAATCAACAATTCGTTGGTAGCTATCGCTTTTAGTTTAAGAGATATTAATTATCAAAAATCGTCGAAAAAAAGTATCAAGCACCCCCCCTTGGCAATTTTTTCTTAAGAATCAAAATTTCATCTCTCAGATTTCCGTTTTAACTATCCTCTCTGATAGAGAATAGTCCGTACATTAAGACGCTGCGATCAGATCCTATTTATCTCTTTTAGTTTACAAGATATTCGCAATTGAATGGGCGAATGAGAGTCAGTTCATCCACGTACGGTGCCCTGAACACGAGTCACTTCCACCGCTGCCCTTGAATGGTGCCCTGAATACAAGACACTTCTACCGCTGCCCTCTTTTAAACAAAAATCGTAAGCGCCAACACAACAAAGAATATGAAAGTTTGGAAAATTCTCTACCAGGTAATAATTAAAATATTTTTTCCGTGGGATATATGCGATCAATACTAAACAACAATATGCTACATGCAATATGAGCAGATTGCAACGCGATACAGAAAACCTTGTTTATATACAAACGTTGAAAAATACCCATCCATCTATGAATTAAATAGTAAATAAAAATTAAAAAATTTCGAAAATTTTCCTAAAAGCAAATGGTTTATAAATTATTCTCGCCCTCTCCTAATTTCCCAATTTGAATACCCTATTTTATGAAGAATTTGCCGAAGATTTACAATCTTCAATCCAAAATACGAGTAATTGGAACTGAAAAAACCGAGACAAAAATGAGTATCGCTGTATTGCTTCTTGCGCTTTTGTAAGCGAAGGAAAAACTAAACAGTTAATTTTGAGAAAAGCGGGCACGCGACTATCTTAAGTATTTGCAACACGCGATGGAACGCGATAAAGCACAACAACGTAAATACAAACTAATGGAGGACGCTGAAATTAAAACGAAAAATATAATTGAATTATAAACTTACCAATGCAAAACTCATGGATTTCAAGGCATGGCAAATACTATAAATAAAAAGAGAAAACATAAGTTAAAACAAAAATATTTCATTCGGTTTAGTAATATTATAATCACAAAGCGGAGAAAAACAAACAATCTGTGCTGTTCTGTTACAAGTTACTTACATCAGTACGATGGGTCATCCTCATGATGAATATCATATCAACATGGGGGCGATACACTTAACCGGCATTTATGGACTATATACGCGCAAACAGTAAATAACTTAACTACAGTCGATTGATGATCGAACATAATGCGAATTTAGAAAGTAGATGTCCGGACAAACAATACGAGTCGCATAAATTACGTCTAGATCATCCAGAGACCGGCACGAAACTGGCTGCAAATTGTGCAAGCAACAACGCGACAGTTTATGACAAGAAAGCAATAGATGCGCAAAGCCGGCGGCGCGTCGATGGCACGCGACCTTGTGCGCGACTTGCAATAGACACGGTACGTGTGAAAAGAACTAAACTAAAATGTGCTGCATGCGACAGCGCGACGATGGCAGGCGACCTTATGCACGAAAAGGCAATAGACACGGTACCTGCGATATGAATTAAACTAAAATGTGCTACAGCGCGACGATAGACGAGAATATTACGCATAGCATCTAGAAAATCATGGAATCATATCAAGTATCCCCCTTGCCAATTTTTTCTTATGAATTAAAACAGTGAATATCTTCTAAAGTTCTAAACTAAACGAGATAGCAACCAGAAAATTAAAGATTATGGAAGTTTGAAAAATTCTATATCAGATGGAAATTTAAAATAATTTAATTTACTGGGGTAAAAGGACTAAAAACGCGACTGAAACTGCTCAAAATTGTAATGTTGCAATTTTTGACGATTTATTTCAATTGAGAATATCTCGTAAACTAAAAGAGATAAAAATGAGCGAATCGTAAAGTCTTAAGCTAGGAACAATTCTCTATATAATAAGCTAGTTAAATTGGAAATCTAGATGGTACCCTACGCAAGTCATTTTTACCGTTACCTTTATACGGTGCCCTGAACGCGACTCACTTCTACCGCTACCCTCGTACGATGCCCTGAACGCGAGTCACTTCTACCGCTACCTATATACGGTGTCCTGAACGCGAGTCACTTCTACCGCTTCCCTTGTACGGTACCCTATACACGAGTCACTTCTACCGCTACTTTTATACGGTACCCTGAATCAAGTCACTTCTACCGCTACCCTCGTACGATGCGAGAGAGTATATGTGTCCGCTAATCATTCTAAAATGATTTATAATAAAACTGAAATGTTCGTGATGGTAGTGGTGCATATTTTTATTGAATAAAGTATTTGAATTATGAATTACCTGTAAGAATTAGCTCGTTTATTTATGAAACTGTGACGTGTAGGATAGACAGCGATGGTTACAACAATATCAGACTGCACTACACTCACACGAACAAACACACACACTTACACACCATAAAAATCACGATTCATTTACATTTCACGCCCGATTAGCACAGTATCAAACATGCCATTAAAATAAAAGAAACACACGATGTTCAATCGAATACAGCCGCAATTTAACAAACTAAAATCACAATAAACGTGAGGAGACGCAAAATAAGCGCGCGGATTACTAGACAACCGGCGCGAAACTGTTGGTAATCCGCTGGACAAGCCGAAAACGCGAGAACTACAACCGGCGATTTGTTTCGCACGGCACTCCGGCGCCTATTGGAAACACTATAACACAGCGGAGCGTATATAATAAAAAGTTGTTTACAAAACAACGATATTGAGAACTGTGTTCACAACGAATACAACCAGACGTTAGTTGAATGCAAAAATGTGAAATATGTAAACGTTAATATTCTTGAAGAAATACGAAACTAAATTGCTTGCATTTTCAACTTAGCTATGTTCATAAATTATTTAGATTTAAATAATAATGACATAGGTATATGATATTTCATTACATCATAAGTTTAACGCTTTCAGTTTTGCGATTTATACAAAAAAGAACTTACCTACACATTCAGTCAAATTGCCGGAAAATTAGGTTTGTGAAGCAAACTTTTACAAAAATAAACAAAAATTCCGCGTCAAAATTTAATAATTTTTAATTTTTATCATGTTTTAAAGATTTAATTATTTTACTTACCATGGTATCAAACACCGCAAATCTAAGGCATTAAGATACTGAAATAAAGAAGAAAGAAGATATAAATTAGATTATTTAGAACAATTTTAAAAATCCTCTGTGTTCCTTCGGAAGTCAGTTTTTCCGATAGAGTCTGTGACATTATAGAATTAAACAAACAATGATATTTACCTGGTAGCATATTAACGTTTTTGCAGAAGACAAAAGTAGTTTTCGCGATCCAGAAATAAGTGTGCACGAATTTATAACAATATCTTTGACAATCTAAGAGAATATCGACGGTTAGCGTCCGACGGCAACTCACACAAGATCACACGCGGAAACATTCGTAACACAATAATTTAGCATTTACGAAAATTCGACACACGATAAATCATTAGCAAAACACCAAACCCGACTGATAAATATAAATAATGGCTATGCCAAACAAATATCACGCAAACAATCGATTCTAAGAAAGCAAGTGATATGCCGCAGCCAATCATAAATGCGTTGCACCACGGCAACAGCACACGGTAAACTGCTTGCGCTCGACTAGTTTTCGTTAAATTGTGTATCGTTGCGCCACCTATGATTGCTTTACAATACTTCAAGAAAATTCAACCATATTTAAAACAACTAAATACAATATAGCTGCATCAATTTCTAAACATTATAAAAAGCTGGTATTTATTGCACTTACTCGAAAAGTGTGAATATATTTATCTTAGGTATATATTTTTCCTATATATTTATCTATGTATTGAAAAAATTGAGTATTTAAATACTTTTGTTTTCTAAGTTTAGGTGTAATTCAACGTAGTAATTGAATATATTATAAATGTTAATAGCGTTTTATTTTTGTCCTCATACAATAAAACGTTTTAATTTCAATACTCGTGCCACCATTTCTGGACTTACTGAGTCTAACCTCACAATTCCACCAGTATATTATTACACTGTGAAAACGTCTTCTATGTTTAATTTCATTAAAATATAAACAAAAATGGCTCTAAATATGTTAACTAAGGTCACAAATTTATTAAAAGGAACATCCCAAGTCCTAAACACCTCCGTATGTATTAAAATTCTTGTATTTTTATATCAAAATGATAGCTTTTCATAATTATATCTTAGGTAAGAACAAAATGGGTTAATGCAAGAATGATACGCGACGTAAAACGACGTGTGATGGCTACTGATATGGCCAAAGATCGTCTACGCGTCAACTCGCTGCGAAAGAACGATATCCTGCCTCAGGAGCTTCGCGATATAGCATCCGCTGAGCTGCATGCATTTCCGCGTGATTCCTGTCCTCGTCGCATTGTCAACCGTTGCGTCCTTACTTCACGTCCACGAGGAACCATAGTCAAGTGGAGGGTCAGTAGGATTATGTTCAGACATCTTGCTGAATACAATAAATTAGCAGGTGTACAAAAAGCTTTGTGGTAATGAAATTCAGCTGAATCACAATTATACCAACAGATTATTAGTTAATTAATAAATAACATATCCACAAAGAACATATTATTTTACTCACAAGTCTATCATGTTACAATAAGTCAAGTTTTCAGGATTATATAGTTCAACATCATAGAATAACTGTATAAACTGGTAGGACTAGAAATATTTTGTTCACTGGGCAATAAAACTTTAAGTAGCAATAGAACAATATAAATAATAGTAACAATCCAAGGAACCTTCTAGTAGTTAATCATATATGATTGAATTATTTACGCTCGCTTAAATTTAAAAGTATTCTTTGGAAGGCGTTTAAGAACTTTTAAACTAAGTTTATAACGGTCCGAGTTTTGTTTCTTTGGCGCATTTAACAGCAGACATCATAAACTTGACAAAGCCTGTATCTTTAGGTTTCTCTAGGCCACGCATTAATCTGTTTTTCATCACGGCAATAAATTCTCTGTTACTCAATTGACCATCCACTGTAAATAAAAATAATATTGTTGGATATGTACATATGATGTACGAAACCTTTGCAACTTACGATTTTCATCAAAAATTGTAAAAACAACATTTACAACGTGATCGCTCAAATCAACATGCGCCACAGTTTTAGCAACATGTTTCAATGTTGCTTGATCAATCGATGCACCAGCAATATGGTAGAAGGTTAATGCCGTGTCTACATCGTTGATGTTGTTCAAAAAATGGAAGAAGTTCAGATAGTCAGTGCGGGATATTCCAGTGCCAGTTTCTTTGAACCTTTGTAGTCAAAATAAAACACCAGATAAAATGATTTATAGAATAAAATTGATTTTGGACTTACATCTTTTTAACACGCTTTAGCATCTTGACTTTCTTCTTCTGTGGGTACCCACCGTAAGCTAGCAACAACTCAGTAAAATCTGCCTCACTAATATTGCCATTCTCATCAGGATTTTTGCGATGAAACTCTAAACTCAAGATTTCCTTCTGCAACTGCTCCTGAAAATCAAGGAACTTTTCGATTGTCAGTTTCTCCTTCAACTTTGGACCAAAAAAGTAAGTCGTCAGCGCAGAATTGACACCTTTGAAGGTATTGCCAGTATTGGAGTGATCACGATGACGTGAACCAATGCTCGTTTGTTGTCGGATCAACGTGGCAACTTTCTCAAACTCCTCACAGTCGACATCCCCGTCACCATTTAAATCAAACATGCTGAAAGCAATCTCGAAGTGTCTCCTAGAAGCTAAACACCAACAAAATACATTATTTGAAAACACGAGTAATAATTTTGACACTTACTCGAAAGAACAGTTAACAAAAAGATATAATCAGAAAAAGTGATCAATCCAGAACTGCCAAGTTTGTAGAAAATACTATCTTTATCCAGAGTTAAATCCAAACGATCCTGCAGAGTCTGTGAAACGTAACCTCAATTATCATCTATTAAACATGCGTCGCATCTGTCAAAGCTTGAAACTTTAAAACGCCTACTTGTATATATCAGATAAAACGCTCCTAGTTTACGGAAAAAACTGGTGTGATATTGATCAGCATGTGTACTTCGGCGACAATGTGTGATATAGGCATATTGTTTAAAATTATTGATATGTAAAAGAGTTGTCATGTCGTTTTGGTGGGTGTAAATCGGTTTCTCATACAAACAGAATAATATCGTAAATAGAAAACGTCAAAAATCTAACTACTAAACGCAAATCTGGTGCTACATGCATGCGGCTTCGCTAATTTCGTCACAAATTGCAATCAGATTTCAAAAATAATACAAAACTTTCACACGCACGACATCGAACTAAAAAACTTTTAGAGTTTATCTGGTTTGAAAATTTAAACTTTGATACTTGGATAGAAGAAAATATCGAAGAAAAACAGGTGCAAAGGAAGTCAGTTTATATTACCTCTTTAAAAAGCTGCAAAATACACATATCACATCAGTAATAGTCAAAAAAATGGGTTGATATGAGAGAGGTGATAAGAGGAAATCATATACATTTACATTTGAGAATCGACGATAACAATTGTGAAAGAATTTAAAACAAAATGGTTGGCACTATGATCTCATGAGAAATGCATCGTGAGAGTGATAATTATTTAAACATTGAGTTGGCATCAAGGCTTCAGGCGTTTGTTGGGCATCAGGCTGAATAAGGGGTTCATATGAAAAGAACATACAGAGAGAAATTTTGTGATTGACAACATTCAATAAAATTCAAAGAACGTGTTCGAACGTGGGAACAATCGGCCAGAGAATCAAATAAAGAGAAATTCAAGTAAACAAAACGCCATTTTGTTCAAATGATCAATGATCAAATAAAAACACAACCTCAATTTTAAGCGCCGTTTGTTTCTTCACATTTTCATTGTCTGAGCATTCAAATGAGAAAAGTTAAGAACAAAATTCGCGGATTATACATTACCCATGCCTTTTTTGCTTGATGTTCAGTCTTTGAATGTAAATTAATAAAGTTTTTTACTTACTTTTGGGTCGTAACGCTTGAACTGGTCCAATCCTAAACCTAAACACAGAAAAATAGTTAGACACCATGACAGAGTAAAAATGAAAGTTTAGTTTCAGTTAATCAAACATAGAAAACAGTGAAGCATGAAAATATGAATGGATTTTAACTGCACTAACCATCGGGTTGTTTCAAACCGGGCGTAATCGAACGCAGGAAATCATCGGGAGTCATGTAAATATCGGAATGATCGGCCGATTGTAACGTCGCAAAGTATCGGAATACTTTGTCGGGCGTCGAATAGTGACGGATGCGGTTCTCATACTCAATTATCTGTGCAAACAACAAAGCAAGGAACGGTCACATAAAGCCTTCGATTAGTATAATTAGTTTAGCAATGAACCCCATTAAAAACAAAACAAATTTCATTTCAAATTCATTCTAAACTAGAGTTATTTTTATTCTCGTATAATGGCAAGCTGTGAGCTTCTTGATGATTAATTTGTTAGTCTTGCATTTGTCTTAATGTCTCAATCTAATCTAGCAAAGTTAAAATGTGTCTCCCATGTTATAAGTTCCGTTACCCTCGGGTTGCCGCATCCCTGGAGTAATAGCTCGCAAAAAATCATCGGGCGTCATGTAAGTCTCGACACCGCTCGGGGTGACAACTTTAATTGTCGCAAAATATCGGAATATTTTGTCGGGGGCCGAGTAAGACCGCAATCTATTTTCATATTCAATAATCTGTATATTCAAAGAATAGTCATACTACAGTCTTCATCAAAACTAGTCAAACAAATAAAGAAACTAAAATTTATAAGGATTTTTGTACCTTTCTCTCGCGGAAACCAATCTTTTCCTTCTTCTTCTTTGCTGGTTTGTCGCTCTCTTCCTCATCGTCACTGTCGCTTTCTTCATCTTCAGTTTCAGCATCTGATGATTTAATTTCATTGTGTTTGGGCTCTGAATGTGCTTTCACAGCAGGAAATAGCTTCGCTTTAAACCTGTTCCATTACATTTGAATTAGTATCATAGTTCTGGTTAAAAATAATAAACAAAATACATAAAAGAACTTTAACATAATCAATAAAGTAGCATTTCAGTTTGAAACTAAAAATTCATTTCAAAGAAGTGTAATTTGTTGTAATAACTTACCATCTATAATTTATGAGTGGTAAAGTAAGGCACGCCAACAAGAATGTTATCCAGGCCTTGGTTATACCTGGCATGGGCTTTATTCTGTGCCCAAAGTTCTTGTACTCTCTTCTCTGCTGGTGATCATTATTTATTTGCTTTTGTGCAACTGAGAGTAAAGCAGGTCTGATTGCATTCTGTCTGATGAGATTCGCCCTTGCCGTATAGGCCAAGACGCTGCAGAGCTTCGAATACATCACTACCGGTGTTTTTATTCTTTGGATGCACTGTTCTTTAATGAAAAGTGTTATATTATTTATCAATAACCACAATAACCATGTCAAGGTAATGCGATACAGGCACTGCACCTCGCCTTTGCAGATGTAATTTAACGACAAAGTTGGAAGATGGGTTTATTTTGAGCTAGACAAAAATGGGTATATGGCAAATCAGCTGTTATACAGCGCGTTGTTTGAAGTCTAAAATCAAACATTTTACAGTTTTTACTTGTTTAGATATAATTGTATCAATACACTGAATAATTTAATTTGATTTCAATTAATATTAATAACTAATAACATAACATTTATTTATACAATGATTCCTGCAAGTAGTCAAATATTTCGTTTATTAGTTTCTTGCAGAGCGCCCCCTTCAGGAAGTTTCCTAAAGTAACTTTGAAGGAGACCAGAATAACCTTTCCAAATAAACAAATCTTGCAAAACATTTGAATAAATCGCTTAAAAATAACAACACAATATAAAAATGCAAGAGGATATGGATTCTGATGGGATTACAGATTCACCAAAGAAAGGTATACATACTTAAGAATTTATTTAGCATTATAACTTGGTTATTTGATTGTTAATATCCAAATAATCAATCAGGTCCAACACTTTCTACTTCAACATCCAGTTTTGAGGCCCTGGATCCCCACGACCCTAATTTAAGCCGTCTGGCGACCACAATGTTTAATAAAACTGCTGAATATTTATATGGGGAATTGACCTCCACATTGGATGACTACAAACTTATTGAAAACATGAACAGAGCAACTATCACTAAATACTCTGACATGAAACATATTACCGGAAATATAGCTAAAGGGATGACTGATTTAAATGAAAAATGTAAGTTTACAAGGTTTTTATTCTCGAAAAATTATTTCCAGACATAAAAAACTCCTTATTAGTGCAATTTATTACATTAAACTAAATTTAACATTCTCCATTTCAGGCAATACTCTGCAACCTTATTTAGATCAAATTGAACAAATAGAAGACAGTGTTGTGAAGCTTGAACAAGCTGCATACAAACTGGATGCTTATTCAAAACGCCTAGAAGCGAAATTTAAGTCACTCGAAAAGCGATAACCGTTTATAAAATAATTTGACATTCCTTTTGACAGACAAAATAATTAATCCCTAGAAAACTAAGAAAACATGTTAATAACTTTATCCAATAATTTAATATGATTTTGTTATGTATTTGTTACTGTATTGTTGACTGTATACTGGATTTAAGACATTATACGCATTTTGCACTTGCATTATCGTTTCTCTTGTGTGAGCACTTCCTGTACCTTATCTCGAGCCTTTTCGTCAACGCAGTTATCATATTCGGTGACTTGTTCCGCACATTTGATTGGGCACTCTCTATTGTTCTCATAACACTTAGAAATCTACAAAAAAAACAATTCACAGAAAGTAAAATTAATGTTTGTTGATAATTTACTCAGAGTTGGCTTAATATGATGATATTTAATTCATTTTTGTTAATATTTACCACTTCGCTTTCACAAATCGACGATTTAATCGAAATATCCTCGACAACTGCTTCCAAATGCTCAAGCAACATCTGCACCCGTGATGGTGTCAACCCATAAGCTCTACTATGACTGTCGTCCATGCAACGAAGCTCATTGAAGAGCTCCTGATCGCCGACGTTGTCCATTGCGCGCATTTCAGCAGCGGTCAATCCTTTTGGTGGTCTTCCTGTTTAAAATAAACAAAATAATAATATGTACGTACAAAATAAATGGTAAAATGACCTTCGGAGAATTTAAGCACCAAGTCTTCGCTGAACGTAAACACGCTGTGGTTGGTAGCGGGTCCGCACGATTGGCATTTGAAAGCGTTGCCCATTATTTTGTAATTTTGGCTGTTTGAAAAAATGAACGTTGAAGAATGAACAGTTAGACAAATACATAAACGTCAGAATCATTATTTAATTGACGTATTTATGTTTATTTCCGTACCTTAGAAACAAAACAAATCAAAACTTTGACTTTGTCTTCGTAAAAATGTATTCAGCTTTTTACTTTCTTGTTCAGAATCCAGTATGTGTTGATTTTACCAATGAGACTTGAAATTTTATTTTAAACAAATGAAAAATGCTAAAAACGCACTTCAACGCACTCTTAGATTCAATTTTTTAGCGATAAAAATGATTTAATGTCTATTCCAATTTTCATCCCTTATTTAACACCGTTTAATTAACAATTTTGAATATTTTAATAGTTATTCTGCTATTCAAGGCAAAAACAAATTAAATAAATCTTAAATCATCAAAATTTGTTCAGCCGTTATTGAGTTATAAATGCTATAACTAACAGAACAGAAAAAAATGTAAAAAAGTGATAAAAATTGTTCAAAATGTCAAAATCTAGAAGAAAACATCAAAATACCAACAGAAGCTAATAATTCTACTAAACGGATATGCATTTCTTGCACGCAAAGTAATTTGCATAATAAATCGTAATTCATTTACATTTAAATTCGATAGCAACGACAGCAAAAACTAATGAAACTAAAACGCACATTTATGAATCATTACAAGCAGGATCATAAGGTTACGCTTGCATCCTTGACGTCGAATCTTTTTCAAACAACGAATTCCGCTTCATTAAAAGCGTGTTATTCTCACGTTGTGTGCGCACACACAATGCTTCAATAATTAAATAAAAAATCGTTTAATTTGGTTGATGAACAATGCGAAACCATCAAAACACACTTAGTGCTACTTTATAAATGCAATTATAATTAATAACTTAATCATTACACAATTGTTTGATATTAATTAGCATTGAAATCAAAACATTTACGTAGAAACTTATCCTTGAACTTAAATCGAATCGTCAATCAATATTTTGGTACATTAAGTAGAATTCCAAACGTAGATGATTTTGTTTTTTGTTGATTGGCACTTGTTATGAGGAAATAACGAGTTATCGCATTTCGCAGACTCTAATAACACGTTGTTTTATTATTTATTAACGCGTTAATATTTAGGGAGGGAAGCGGTCATAATATAATGTGGAATCAAAGTTTGTGACGAAATTCACACGCATCTCTCATCGATCATCATCGATTAGGAGTAATAATTTCGAGGAATCGTGAAACATTAAATCATTCAAAGGTTGAATAAAATCGCGTGTTGATGGCAATATATTTGGGTAAATATCAAAACAAATAACTGTTTAAAAATTACAAGCATTTATCATTCCATTGCTACATAAAAATCAATTATTCAATTTTATTTTTACGTTTTTAACCAAACTTTTGAGCTGTATTTGAAAAAAATTTAAATTTTGCAAATAAAAATTGAGTTTTCTACAATATATTCTATAAATACGATAATAGTTATTAGTATATTTTAACTTAAAAGATATAAATTGTAATTATTTACTAACTAATTAACGATTTTACAGATTATAGTTGCCAAACGTGGCGCATGCGTTTCATGATTCGCATGTGCGCTTATAATTAACCGCACATTAATTATTTTAACACAATAAAATGTTAGCTGTATGAAATCTAATCGAATTAAATATGCAAATGATCTCACAGTATCCGATCCTGACGTTTAAATTCGTGTTAAATTCTTAATTTGTTATTGTGCGATATGCAGCGTGGAATTTCCAGCATCCTTCGCGGATGTGTGTGTGAGTGTCGATTAGATAAACTAAAATAAAGTAATTAATATATTCAAATACAATTTCGTATAGTTTATTAATCTGTACGTCATTAAAACATAATTACTTTCATAGCTGGATTGCGGTTGTAGTTTTATTTGTGAATAAATCGTACGGTTTATGCATTTTATTGCCGATTAGTTGAAATTGAAAATATTACTTAAAATTATTTTACGGATTTAATTTTTGCGTATTAAATGTTAAGATATTATTTTGACACCAGAAAAAAAGTTTTAATTTTGGCTTTTGTGCGCTTCCTATTTAATTAAATTTATCTCCATTCATATTCATTAGATTACTTCTCATTTGTTTATATTTCTAAAGTATTATATGGCATAATAAATGTGCATAATCTTAAACATGTGGGTTGTACGATTGTTGATTGTCTTTGATCTCATCCATCGTGAATTGAAGCTTAAAACTTAAGAATATTAGGTCATAACTATGACAATAAATGCGAATGACAATTTTTAATGATGATGAAATAGATACAGTGTCATCATAAACTATAATAAGACGTGATATTATAGATTTTTGCAAAAAATTATTGAAAATGTTTTAGTGTAAATATAAAAATTAAACATTTTGTTAAAAGTGAATCCTTCTTCTTCTTTATAAAGGTCATAATATGATGAAAACGATTCATTTGACATACTTGACAAACGAATATGCGTATGAAATACTAAGAAACTTAAATATACATTCAGGTTGTTAATAATCTGAATAATCTTAGTATAATAATATTAAAAGATAGAATAACATTCTTAGGATATTTCCAAAGTTTCAGGTGTTAAATTAATCTATTGCCATGAGTTTTTCTTCGCATTTTTCGTCGAATATCAAATGTCAATTACATGAATAAATAAGTAACTTCCTAGACGGATGTTGACGAATTTTTCTAGAAGATTAATCAGGAAAAGAAGCAAAATAACAATTCGTAGTTTTGAATTTATATTTATCAGACACTTATAATTTTTAACTTTTATGGCGATTCATAAATTTGGATGAAACAAACTCCTAAATGAACCTTTGTTGGGAAGACGTCTTGTTGTGCGAAAACCGCAAATATTTCAATTTTTATTACACATACAATGTGTCCTAATCATTAAGGATATAAACATTTAAAAAGAACTTAATTTGTTTGAATAACATTAACATTTAACACCTTAAATACTTTGGAAATATCTAGTTTTTTACTTACAAACCACAAAAATAAGAACTAAACTAATATATAGAATTCTCAAAAATTCGATGATGTTCCTAAAATGTAGATATTGTAAGTGGGTACATAATTCAGAGTTGAAAGAGTCTATTTTTTGTTTCTTTTTGGTATAAAATCAGTAAAACTGGAGGTGGAACTACGCGGATCTGTTAGTTAAATATAAGGATGATCCGCGCATCCAATTCAAGCAGAGATTCGCATAGCCGTGTGTTTGTATGATTAGATTACGAGAACATTAAAATCATTAATACGCAACATTAACTGCCAATTGAATAAGTGTTTAACTAGTGTGAGATTACCGTCAAAATGTGGAAATCAACGCTTATATTTGCCGTAAGTAATAAAAATATTAAATTTAAAAAAATACAATATACAATCCAAAACAATTAAAGTTAATATTACTTTAATTATTTTCAATTATTTTTACCTGTTTAATTTTAACAATTGAAGCAAGTATAAATAGATATGTGAGGATAAGAATTTTTCAATTTTGACATGGAATAACACCGTAAAACATTATTATTGGCCATAAATTAGCAGCGTTTACAACAATATCGTCCTTGAATCAAAATTCTAACCGATGCGTCGAGTATATCATATTACATCCTAGTATAATCTTCATCATCTCTCATTCCTAACGTTCTACCTCTGCTAGATTTATGAGCATATTCTCCTCTCGATCACCAGCATCATCATCATTGTTAGGCTCGAACGGTTTAAGTTGTTGAATCGTGACGTAATTATCATTCAAAACAATTACAATATAACTGTTTTTCTTTAAAATTAACGTAATGAAACACGTTTATCATGCATTTATTGTTTAGTGTAATGTTGGTGCTATATATTTATTTAAAAACGGAAATATTTTTTGTTTAGTTAAGTGTGACATGTTTCGTGGGAGCTGAAGATGTGCGTCTTGTTGATTTGGATCCTCCCGAAGCACAACAATTGATTGATAGCAAAGACACTACTTTGAAATATGCGCCGAAAATTGAATCGAATGTGCCAGCAGTGAGGTACATCGGTAATGAACCACAGAATGTACAGGAAGATATTTATCTGGCCAATCAGTACCATGGTCAAGATGGCCTCGGAGGATATCTCTATGGATATTCGGTTCCAGATATTGCTAAAACTGAACGTAAGAAGGCTGGCGGTGATTTGAGGGGTGCCTACAATTACATTAGTGGAGATGGCCAAGAAATTAAGGTAAATTTGATGTAAAAATATAAAGTTTTCTGGAAATTATAAAATTTTCTTTCAAATAGGTTGAATATTGGGATGATGGTAATGGTTTCCATCAAGTAGACAACGTCCCAAAGATTCTCCCGAAACAAATTGAGGATTCTCCTGATGTGAAAGCTGCCAAAGACGAACACGCACGGATCTGGGCTGAAGAAGCTGAAAGGAACTCAAAACCCATTCAAAATCCATATCCTAATGCTCAACCAGGTGCTTACGCTGGTTTAGGAGCTGGTGTTGGTGCTGGTGTACCTAATCCAAAACCCCAAGGTCAATTTGGTGGTCAAGGACAACATAATCAAGGCGGTTATCAAGGACAGCAAGGTCAACAAGGTGGATTTAACCAACAGGGACAACAAAGGCCTCAAGGAGGTTACCAACAACAGGGACAATCAGGTCATCAAAATCAAGGAGCTCAAGGTCAGTCTCAACAAGGGTTTGGCCAACAGAGACCGCAAGGAGGGTTTAACCAACAAGGTCAAGGAAGTCATCAAGGAGGACATCAAGGCCAACAAAGTCAACAGGGTAGTTATAACCAACCTGGACACCAACAAAATCAAGGCCAAGGCAATTATGGAAGTAATCAAGCTGCAAGACCTCAAGGGCAAGGTTTTGGAGGTCAAGGTCAACAAAGCCAACAAGGACAAAATTATGGCGGGCAGGGACAAAATCCCCATGGCGGTTATCAAGGACAACAATCGCAACACAATCAAGGTTTTGGACAGAACAACCAACAACGTCCACAACAAGGTTTTGGTGGTCAACAAAACCAAGGACAATATGGTTCCCAGCAAACAAATCAACAAAGACCTCAATTTGGAAATCAAGGCCAAAACCAACCACAACACCAACAAGGTGCTTACAATAAACCTGTCCAAAACCAATATGGCGGATCAAGTGGATCTCACGATTATTCCGGCCAACAAACACAAAATCAAAATCAATACGCCAAAAATCCAAACCAACAAGATGGCGAAGATGACGGCGCTTACAAGTCCGATGACAGCGAAGGTCAATGGAAGGACGATACAAATGAACCAACTGGTCCACCGAAAGGATTCTTCTACAACGTTGATTACCCTGTAGGAATCATCGTTTCCAAGCAGGGCGGCGCAGTACAGGGCTCCAATGTCGGTGACACCTACAAACAGAACAAAGCAAACTTCGAACAACAGTTACAAGGTGGCGCAGCGGTTCACGGAGCAGGATCATATCCCAGTTATCAAGTGCATTCATAAACAATCAAAAAACACATAAATCAGATATATAACACCACAAAATTAAAATGAAACATTCGTAGCCTGTAAATTAATTTATTTACTGTAGAATAAAGTAAGTTATTTTAATTAAATTTATACGAAACGTGCCCAAACTTGTTTTGCAACATAAAAGCAATAAATACATATTAATGTTCTAGCAGAAGTGATTCTGTGACTATGTGTGATCATGAATAAATGTTTTCATCACGGATATACCTCTGACTCATCTGCGATTACCGGCTGGCAATTTTTATCGGTTGTTCGTGCCGTATCAACGAATATCGGCAATGATTGAGGTGATTGAGGCATTTTTGTTTGAATAATTATGGCTGATGGTAAAGATGGCAGCGATGGTAATAGGTTTTGAACGTTTTGAATGTATGGTTGTACTTGGTTAGACAATCCGCTGAAAAATCCTTGTACATTGTTCGTGACTCCGGTAAAAGCTTCCGGGATGTTGAATTGTACAGGTAACCAATTCGTTTGTTGGATCCAGTTGCCAACGAAGTCCCAAACGCCACGACTAAGAATTAAATTTTATTATATTGAAGATTATACATATTAATCAAAGAGTTAACGGTTTTACATTAAAGATGTTTGGGTTGCCTAGTTATAACATTTATAAAATTTAATTTAAACTTACTTTATTTGGTGAATATGAGGTTGATGTGGATGATCGTGCATTGTATGCATGTGTTTATACAATTCTTCTTGAGGAATAATAATAACTGGTGCACTTATTACATTATTCAAGTAAAAAATAATCAAAATCAAGCAAATTTTGCGTAATTTGATGCTGTTTTTAGAGGATGACATGTTGAACTTTTGGGTTGAGTTTAGTTGAAGAGGTTGCAACAAAGAATGAAGAATTTGTTACTCTTGACAATTTATTTCACGGCTCAACTGCCTCCTACTTCCGAAGACTTCTTGTAACTCATACATAATTATTACTTGTAAGATATGAAGGTAAATATGGCATATAGGACACATAAGACACGAAACACGCAGTTTGTGAAGATGATCTTAATTTGTTTTATACTGAATGTTTCATAAAAACACAAAAATTGATGTAAACAAAATATTTTACTGATTTTGATTAGTTACTAATGTATTTCATTGTAAAATTGAAGGTAAATAATTAATTACTGATTTATTTAACAATTTGAACTTAAAAAGATTAAGAAAAACAAATTAATTGATAGGCAACTCAAAAACAAGCAAAACTTACTTTTTTGTTACTTAAAAATAGTTTTAAATTAAAATTATACTCACTATTACCAAAATTATATTACTCAGGTAGTAGCTACACCGTAGAAATGTATTTCGGACAGGTTTGAAAACAAGAAGATAAAAACGGCGGAATAACAGTACCCGCAACTTGCAACTTGCGAGAGTGACCCAAGTTAAAGCTCTGCGAGCAGATTCAAGACTCTCGTAAAACGTCTTCTTCGCGAACTCCAGCCGGCCTCAGACAAACACCACAAATGTTCTACGACGAATGTAGTCGTATAGAGTTGTAGTTTTATTCGTCCGTTCAAATCATGCTCAATCGTCGGGCTGTGCAAATGTGGCAGTTGTTTTGTTGCTTGTCGTTGTTGCATTCGCACATCGCATTGTGCCAGAAGAATCAAGCGGTCAGTCCGCCGCCGTCCATCTTCGAGTGGCTGCAGCCATTTCGGCCCATCATCACCGTGAGCAAGTTTCCGCCCATTGTCGAATTCATTGCGCAGAGGATACAAGCACAGTTTTCTAATTATGTAAGTTGTTAAATTCCTAAACACAAAAATGGGTTACAATTGAGGTTATGTTTAATTTAACTTTGTTTATTTTTAATAATTTTAAAGATTTATGAAGATTTAAGTCGTCCACAAACGTATGATCGTCCCACATATAAACCATACGTGGCATCATCATCTACATCTACTACAAAAGCACAAAATGGCGATAATAGTAGTTCCGAGGAAGATAGCATAACCACAACAACAGAATATTTTATGTTTTCGACGAATTCACCGCCAAAACTTGTTTTAGTTGATCAATATGAATTGACATCAACGCCTAATTTTAATCAAACTGTAGAAATTGAGTATCAGTTGAGAAATGTTATCAAAATCAACAAAACCATCGACAATAAAACTAACAAAATTGAATTAGAACAAGCAGTGCATTTAATTATGCAAGAAAATAATCTAAAAGAAAACTTTACGCATGTGTTTGAAAAGTTTGATTTAGAAAATGAAGAAAATGAAAGTTTATTGAGTTATAAAGATGTGTCGAGTTTATTTTCAAATAATATTGATGACGATATAGTTGAATACGTACTACGTGATGATAGAAACCCAATAAAAAACAAAGTAAATGAAAAAAATAATGCCAAGAATAGAAATTTGATTGCGCTGACAAAAATTGGGAATCATGTGTATGTCAATGTTATTAACTTTAAATGTCAACCAAAAACATAATAAAAATATGAAAAATTTGTTATTTTTAAATGAAAATAAATTACTTTAATAAAATTTATGATATTTGACTACGATAAGCAAAGAAACAAACATTTTTACTTATTGTTCATAGTGTTGATTGATTTTTTTCTTGATTTTTGTATTGCGAGCTTCCATTTGATCCAACATGGCCGCCATGTTGCTTTGTGACGAATCTCCCATGCCATAATATTTATTTGCCTTCAATCTTTTCACATTGCGTTGCATTTCTTTCAGCAATTTGTAAGGATATTCAGGATCTTCCCTAAAAACAAAATAATAAATTTATTATTAAATTATTTGCGTATTTTATGTGATTTTTTACCATTTTGAGTTTTCGATATCTTCAAATTCTGCAGTACGAATTGTATTACAAATGGATTTACTTTTACCACTTATAGCACTCAACGCATCTGCACCTAATACGCGTGATGACACATTCACATGAAGAGACATTGCATCCAAAGTTTGAGCTTTTGCATCTTTTGTATTAACAACTTTGAAATTATTAAGAAATTTGTCTTCTTGATTGTCTTCTGCATTGTCCAAATCTTTTTTATTTTGAATATTTATCATAGAATCTTGATAATCTTCAATTTGTTTGATATTGAATCCATTCCCTTGACCAATAATCAAACCCCGAATAGAATTCAATGTCTCCAACGCAGTGCTTCTTAAATTTTTCATCGTGGTGTACACATCGTTGTTACTTTCCAATTGGAAGTAATCCTGTTGGACGTGCGCGTCTTTTGTTTTAGTTTTCTGATTGGAGCGCACTTTTAATTTAAACTCAACGCTTGCTAACTGCGCCTCAACTTCCTTCAATCTCGCTGCTTTTTTACGACACTTTTCTTTCTCTGATTCCAATCTATAAGTACATTTTTAGGTTAAGATAGGTTAGTTGGTTAAACTTAGGTTATGTAAATAACTTACTCTTTGCTTAAATGTTCGTTCTTTTTATACGTGTCTTTCAATTTCTGGCTAACTAAATACAATTCTTTTTCGAGGCATTTCAGTTTATAGACGAATTCGTTGAGCGATGCCTTGCGTGTCCGGTCGGAAGCCATTGAAAGAGCGAGATTTTTAAGTTCAATGAAGCAATCGTTGAGCACAGGTATAAATTTCTGGCTTTCGTCACAGGGATTTATTAGGATCATATTCAAAACGAAATTGTTAAAACCCAACAAGTTTTAATCCGACCCATCACACAAATATTTTATTCATATTAAATTGTATTTAATTAGAACCATAAAATTCCGAACGATGCACGTTTAATTTTAATTTATAATAATTTTGACATTAAAATGACATTAGAATAAAATATAATAGAAACTGCATGCAATTATATTCTCACAGGTAAATAAATCTTAAATCTAAATGTATAAAGCAATCGTGTTAGTTACAACATTTATAACTCAAGAACGGCTGGATAGATTTTGATGATCTTTGAATTTTGGGCTTGTCTTGGCCCCATATAGCAGAATAACCATTAAAATATCAAAAATTATGCTTTAAAGGATATTAAATTAGGGACATAACTTGATATTGAGATTCAATCATAGTTATAGCTAAATAATTCAATCCAAGATGGCGACAATGTGCATATAGTTAAAGTTAGGTAAAAGTTAATTAAATATAGTTATGGTATTTATTTATTCGAGGATATTTATGCTTCAACATGAATATCTTTCGCTGACACATCGTTGGGTGTTTCTGTTTCGGCCGAATAACACTTAATAAACCTCGCAGATGGATCTTGAACTTCACACCATCGCGGCATCCAATAATACGGAATGAAGTTGTCCGCGCAACCCGAAAAGTTCTTTTCGAATTGTTGGCGGTAATAGAGAGCTTCTTTTGTGGTCGGACTGCAATGCGGGTACGTTTGCTTCGCCATTTCCGGGTCGAATTTTCCAGGCAGGCGTTTCTCCACGATTTCAGCGAGAATTTGAAATAGACACTTCTTTCTGGACGTTACACCATCACTAAATAATTAAAAATTGATTTTTACTATAAATATTAATGAAATAAAGTAGATTATTACCTGAAAGCTTCTTTATGTCTCCACAAAATTGAATGCGGAAGAAGGTTGGTGTCAGTGAACGCTTGGCGTAACATAAACTTCTCTAACGCGCCATCTTTCGGCTGGAGAAGTTCTTTTGACATTGAAAGGTAATAATTGGTAAATTGTAGATCTAAAAATGGCACTCTCAGCTCCAATCTATAAATAAATACCGCAAAGTCTTAAAAATAAATAAATTAAACTCGTTTGAATATCTTACCCTTGACTACTAATAGTTCTGTCAGCGCGTAATCCATCAAACAAGTAAATTTCTCTGAGTAACCGTATACTGTCTTCATAAGCCGCTTGCGCAGAGGGGGCATTCTTAAAATAAATATAACCTTGCGCAAGTTCATCAGCGCCCTCCCCACTAAACAATACTGTAGTATCAGTTGTCTTTTTAACGAATTTAGCTATTAGCGTCATGCAGATAGAAGCGCGGACTGTGGTAATATCAGGCGTCTCTAAGGTATAAATCACTTCATCGAGCACCTCCGCCACGTCATTTTCAGTAAAAATACATTCATAGTGTTCTGAACCAATGTGTTCCGCCACCTGGCGGGCAGCTCGCAAGTCTGGACTGTCACCCATTCCAATCGCAAATGTTTGTAGTTTATACGGAATGTTAGCTTCTTTTGCAACCTGCGTCAACACAGCTGCAGTGAGAGAAGAGTCAAGACCACCGGAAAGTAGGCAACCAATTCTACGATCCGCCATTAAGCGTTTCTTCACTGCCATTGTGAAAAGTTTACGAATGTTGTTGAAATGATCATTAGGTACTAATTCTACATTAAAAAATAAATAAATAAGGTTATTTAAGATTAAAGTAATATAAAATTATGTTAAACTGAAGAAAACTAACCTTCATATGGATAGAAAGGTTTAAATTGCGGTTTATCTCCAGGCGCATGATAAACCTCCTCCTTGAGTAACACCACACTGCCATCATCTTTAAGCTCATACTCCGCATAGCTGCCCGGTGGGAACGGTTCGATTTGCACCTGATCATCCTGCAAATCCCGTCGTATACCGACCAGTCCCTTCGCTTCGGAGCAAATCGCCAGCACGCCTTTCTTGGTGCGCAGACGGAACAGCGGACGAACACCGTATGGGTCGCGCGCCATCACGACGCGCTTGTTTGGCACATCGACGATGCAGAAGGCGAAGACGCCGTCGAGCTGTCGGACGCACTCCTTCACGCTACCCAGCTTTTTGTACAGGTGCAGGATGCATTCGACATCGCACATCGTTTCGTATTCCAAGTCAAATTCAGACTTAAGCTATAGCAATACAAAAAAAAAAACATGAAAAAAACTGCAATACTAAATTGACAGCTTGACTTCTTTTACCTTTTTACAGTTATACAACTCTCCATTGCAGATGAGATGGTTCAAAGGATATTGCCTCAAATGCATCGGTTGCATACCATAAATGCAATCGACGATTGTCAGGCGATGGAAACCAATACAACAGTTCTAAATTAATAAGAAAAAAACATGAATTAAAAAATTCTTCTTTTAATTTATTAATTAATAGTACTTTAAATCTAAATCTAACCTTGATTCGGTTGTCATATTCGATTCTCCACGCGTCCGGTCCACGTTGTGTGATATTCTTGAAGGTATCTCCACAGTGGTAGTTTAAGTTATTTTTAAGTCCAAACACGGCCCAAATCCCACACATTTTGAGTTCAAGGTGATACTGTGTTGGTTAATCAACTGTAAATGACAATAATAACTCTTCAAAAGGAATTCTGAACGTTAAATTGATTCAATTGAACTAAATTACCAGACTTACATTGCTAGCAATACAAATAATTTCGCTATTGATTTTATTTTTTGAAGTGTGTGTGAAATGTCTACGTTGCCAAGTGAAACAAGTTTATAAATTTAAATTCCAATAACTTTTATAATTATTCACGTATTAATCATTAGTAATAAATGTTATTTTCATTAGAAATAAATTGATTTGCTTACCAATTATATTATAAACACTAAATTAAATTATTTTAATTTAATTTAATTGTTTTGTCTTTTATGAACTCTTGAACCTCTTTCAACTTTGGAAAGTTGTGCGCTTCTTTCAGTTAACGCACTTCACGAGCAGAGCAACGTCGAATGTGTCCAGATGTACCGCGCGAGCTGGTTTTATACGTCGGCGGCGATGATGCAATACTCGCGGAGTATTTCTCTATAGAATGAATGCATCAGCTGCTGCGTTAACACAAAACTCGTTCAGTCGTCGTTGCCATACGTACACGCACGCAGTGTGCGCTCGTCGTATACGGCTTATCTTACAAAACTTACGCGATACGTTTACGTACATGTTTATAATTACTTGGATTACACCTATCTACTGTCTAGGTTACTATAACGCTTGGTATTGACGCTAGTCAAAGCGGAATGGAATTTTTTGTTTGTTATGTTGATACAAGAGGAATTCAAGACGCACATTTAAACATTTAAAAGCTCTAATAGGCATTTTAAAGTAGTTTAAAGCGTAGTTGATGTTATGAAATTAAAATAGTGATGAAACATAGGTTTTGGTGTAAATAGTTGATATTTGTAGAGTGAGTAAGCTTTAACATGTAATTTACCATGAATAACTACGTTATTAATAAGTTTACTGCATATTTATAGATATATTGCACCTTCATGAAGCATTTTCAAGTTTCTTTGGTGTAATGTGGGTTGCCACCTTTAATTTGTCATTTTCTTGTTTTCTCTTAAATATTTTTTCTACCAAACAATTAAAAGCACCTAGAAACAAAATTAGTGTAAATATTTCTTATTTGGGTACAATTTATTTTAAATAATCACATTGTTAATAGCTTTATGTTGTGATTATTGTTATATTGTTCCTCTGCCAAGGGTATTTTTTACTTTTATTTGATGTAATGTTGGTTGCCTTCTGTAAATTGTAATCTGTCTCTTCTGTTTCCCTGTAAATATCTACCCCGAACCCCTAGCTTCCGGTACAACTCTCATTGCAAGACATTACTGACACAAATTTCTTACTTCCAGCTGGCTCGTAATTCAAACACATCAAACCGAGACTAGGCCCTGGCCCTAATTTAATTAAACGAATTAAAAGCCCAAATAAAACCTTTTATAATAGGTGACGCGCCGCGTGCGCCGAACGAGCTGCGTGCGTATCGCGCGCGCACTCTCCGCTGCCAATAATAGTATACTTTTGATTTATAACGAAATTCGCACGTTTATAGGCGACGCAGCGACGCAATTGCGACCCTTCAATATTGGAACACGTAGGCGCCCACCTCACCGAAAGCAATGGCCGACCAGACGCGGAACGGGGGGCGCTGGAGGTTGAAATAGTCCTTGCTGCCGGAGTTGTAACTGTAACAATATAACATTTTAGGCATCTAGCGCTTTGTGGACCACGTGGTCCATGCGAATTTCAAGAAATCCACGGATATTTAAGCCCTTTGTGTGCCGGATTGAATTTTCTTATTTTATTTTTATGTTTGCACCTTATACTCTCACATCTCTAACGCCATCTGTATTCGTATGGTTAAATTAACATAACCTTAAACGATGAAATTAAGATAAATCAAACACTGCATGCATGAACCATCAACGATCAAGTTTCAATGTTTTCCAAATGTGTGCAAGCCCTCTGGAGAGGCGGTCCTTCCTTGAGAGAGTTAATTGTGATCATCAACGTGCAAATAGGGCACCCCCCGAAGCCTCCAGAGTATCCGAATGGATTTTAATTTGAATGTTGATAGTTGGACGACGGCGTACGCACCTACGCGAGGCGTTTGGAAATTGATTTTCCTCCGCGTCCTCTTCGTCCTCTCTCCTGGCTTCCGCCGCTCTCGCTGTGTGTACACTTGCAGGAAGCCGGGTGGGTTCTTCTTGCGGCCTCCCGATAATTCGGTTCTTTGTGTGTTTCGGTCGGGCCGCCGCCACTGCCGCGCCGCTTTGTTACGGCCGGGCGGCGGGCGCTCGCGCGATAGAGGGTGGTTGTTACGTGACGCGCCTGAGTCCTGCTCCTGTTAACCCAATGGCAATCCTGACGGCGAGCGCGCGCTCGGCCTCGGTACTAAAACACAGTCATAAAAACACACAAACCAATTTAGCGCCCGGCAGCCGGCTAGCGTCGAGAGTAGTGCGGCGCTGCCGCCTTCGCCGCCACCATCGCCACCGTCGTCGTCGTTTTATCGCGCCGCGCGAGAGTTCCCTTTCGCTTCCTTCTCGCAGGACAGGACGACGTACGACATTCGCACACCGTTCGCGCAACGAAACCGCAACACTTTTTTAAAACTAACCTCAAAGTTTTACTTACACTAACCGTGATACAACTAGCGCCCTCTACGCATAAATAGTATTAATAGACACACTAATTTTTACTATGCTTACGATATGAGAGAATATGTGGATATTTTTTGTTTTTTGAGTTTTTTCTGCGAACCTGTAGATATTTTAAAGGTACATTCTGGCTCTCCCCTCGGTGTTCGCACGCTCACGCTGAAAACTACTGCCGAAAACGACGATGCTCGGTCATACATACAAACAACGCTGCGGCGCGCGTGGGTGGCGCGCACTTTCAGCGCCCGATTTCAACTTCGAGGGCATCTCTCGCTGGACGCGCACGCCGCGCGGTATTTCTTCCTCTGCGTACTCGCCATTACGTAACTCACACGCGCGCAATCGTCCAGCGCGAGGTGATGGAGGCACCGCGCGCGCGGAAAACTTTGGCTGGTAATAACGTGAAACGCCACAAAGGAAATTTCGCGCTTTACGCTTTGCTTTTTTACGATTTTTTACAACTATGTAGACGTTCGACGTTCGCCAACGAGCAATCGTCATCATGACGCCGCCGTTTCGACGAGATTACACGGAATGCTTTTGCTTTTGACTGATCGTGCCTTTTTGAAAAATTGCTCGCCGCCGCCTCTAAAAGTAGCAACGGTTTAATAATAAATGATGCAGTACAATACCTTGGAAAATTTTTAAATTTTCATTTATATAATATGAAGTGATTTTAATGCGCATGCGCAGTAGTTACCAGCATCAACAAATGTTGCCTATTTATGTTTTTAAACAAACTAAAACGCCGACTGCTGCATGTTTAAATGTTAAATGTTTAATAATACGTTGAAGTATGTTTGGCGGCGACGGCGGCGTAATTCCCGGCGAGCAAATTCCGCGCACTCCCGCCGCCGACCACAGGAATGCACGCGGAGGCACGCACCTTATATTATTAAACTTCTCGTGCAGAATGTGCGGCGGCCGCTGCGCTGCCAATATTCAAATGAGAAACTAGGTGGTAGGCGGCTGGGGGCGGCGCTACGTGCCATTCTTAGACCACCTTCAAAACACATTGCAAGTTGTTTTATTTACGTATAATCCAAGACGCCATCTTGGAAACGATACAAAAAATGATAATAATGGGTAAATTTATTTAGGTTATGTTTTGAATAGCGCTCAATAAACAACTTTTGTTTTCGGTTATTTCGGCGTGAATTGAGTGTCGGTCGGCCGTTGAGGTTCATAAACGAATGGCATAATCCTATGCCATCATCCTTCACCTGTCCGAGCACGGGAAGACCTACCCCTCCAAACACCGCAGGCTGATGCACGGCCTGTCTTTCCGAAAAGAGCCTACGGCTTCCACAACCCGCCTGCCTGCCCCCGACCTTCCCCTTGTCACCGTTCGAAGATCATCGAAGATCCACTTTCGGCTTTTCAATATTCACGCACCGACACACACCCCCCCTCGGAATCATCCTGCGGATATCGAGTTATTTTTACGAAAGTGAAATATTCATGCCGGACCATAAATGTAAAATCAAGGCAAACCGTCTTCAAGATGTCAATATAGCAATACGCATAACCTCAAATCACAGCAGTTGCGCGCGTCGCGTATATTTGGTTGTCGCTTGTTGTGTGTCGTTTTATTAATGAAGTACTGTCGGATATCGACTGATTCAGGATGTGTTTGACTCTGTGCCAAATCCCTACTCAACGAGGACGAAATAAACAGAAAACGCGCTGAATTTTAATATTGTATATTATACAATGTATAATCTATCATCCATAAAAAATGTTTTTGATATAAGAAAACAAAAGAAAAAAAATTTCAAGGTTAACTTTTGTTGAATTATAGTTTAGTATAGTTATTTTGTGTTTATTGGGTTGCCTACAGTGGTAGGCAAGTCTAAAATATGAAAATATAGATATACAAAATGATTACGCATGTTTACTAACAGCGTCTGAAGGCGGTGTTGGAAAATTTTCGAAATTGTTCCCGAAGCTGAAGCTGAACGTTTCGCCAGGAAAGCCATAGAGCGGAGTGGAGCACGCTAAGTGCCGGCCCTATGGGAACTAAAACCGTCGGGGGGGCTCGACGCGCCCGCCGCTCACTTTGCAGTATATCGCACTAATAGCCAGCGCCTGCCACCGCTGCCGCCACCGCCTGTTCTGCCGTGCGCCAGGCAAGAAACAAGCAGCGAAATCTACGCACACGCATCTATGTCCGCGCGCTTGTAACATGTAACATGTAATGTGGGGCGGCGATTGGAGGCAGGCAATGGTAGTGCTGCCGGTGGAGGCTTGAAAATTACACGGCCCATAAACATGGAATACTCCATAGGCTAATATGGCTCACTCATCTTTCACAATCTGTATAAAATCTTATCAGGCACTGCGGGGGCCGGCTGGGAAGGATTGAGAATGGCGGAATGCGTGCGTTCGTGGTTTTTGCTGCTATCTGAGGCGCGGGCACAAGGCAGAGGTTAGGTTTAAATTGGCGCGAATGCAAATTTCCATCTTGTTGCTACTGGAAGTTGAATTTCACTTTCGTCTCACCTCGTTTGCAAACGCTGCCATGATAGGATTCAATTTAAAAATAACTTTAGGTTATCATTTATAGGTTATGTTGATATAGGAGCTATACAAAGACATAAAACGTATAAAATAAAGTTAATTGTGTTGCCTACACTACTTTTGAAGATGCTTTTGAAAATATGTGAGATGTTTGGAATGAACTTGATGACCTATATTAGAGAATCCCCAAGCGGAAGGAAAACTTTCGAGACGTCTGGCGTTTTCCTCAATTGTTTTGTTTTCTTGATCACGATTTATTTATTTGGTATAAAAATGATTGTACTTTGATATAGGCAACCAATTATACAAATTAATTTGTATCTAAATATAATAAAAATCTACGTTTAAGTTAATTATTACATCTAAAGAGAAAAGTGGGTCAAAGCCAAGGAAACGTTTTAGGATAATGACTCAAGGTTACATTCCTAAGAAGGAAATTAAGAACGAACAAACCGAATAATACAAAAAAAAAACGAACGACCTGTTCAAGCGTCTGACAAAACTTAATCTTGCAGTAAATGGAATCGAAACGAACAGAAAAGAGATGTAGAATTTATATAAGAGCAATTTTCTTTTGTGTTTTCCTTCCCTATTAATTGACCACCTGATGAAACACACTAATAAGCTAATAATATTAAACTAAATAAGTTTTATGAAATATTATTGTGTAAGTTGGGTTGCCTACCAAATTTTCCTCTGTAATGAATTGGATTTGAAAGAAAAACACCGAAAAGAACTAAAAGGCTTTCCGTGCATTGTCCGAATATGTTTCCCCACCCCTCGTTGCGAGGCATGTGAAATTTACTCGAGCGTCCCTCTTTCAAAATGCAAATTCCACTATATCGGACGCGCGACGAGGAGATGAACGCACGCACACGCACGCACACACACACCAGGCACTAGAGGATTCGCTTTCCTTAGGGGGGTGGTTTTGGGTTACAGCCGTCTTGGGGGGACTTTGATGTCCCCGTCAAGGCGATGCTCTCGCTCGCGCGCGCACGCAAATTCGTCCGGTGACTCGATTACCGACGATGCCCAAAGGAAGCACGGTCGCCAAGGCGCGGGGGGCGGCGGCGGCGGCTCACACCCCCGCGCGCGTCCCGGCTCGCTCCATGCATGATTGAGAGCTCGTATTGAAATTGAATTCGCAGGACGGTCCGACGCTTGATAAGCAGCGTTGCGCTTTTGGGAATACGGCGAAGTGAGGCCTAAGAGGCGGCTTGAGAGCCGGGCGGTGGCAGGGGGCAGTGTGCGTGTGTGGGCGATATTGAAGTATGGTGAGAGAGGGAGGGCGAGATGTTGGATGGACAGCATGTAAAATATTAATGCGGGCATTTTTAGCTCGTGACAAAGACATTTTTAAAACTCGAGTAATTATGCAACCAAATTTACAATATTTATGTTGTATTGGTTGTATATGGAAGATTTATATGTGATCTAAATAATTTTATTTAGATTGTATAGAAAATTAAGTGCGAAGGTATTTTTTTACCTGTAAAAAAACGGAAGGAAAATTGCCCAGATGTTTTCTTTTCGGACATTCGAAAGGGACACGCATGGGATGTGTTTCCGGCGTGTTATGTTTCAATTTCTTCTTCAACCAGCCTATACGCATTTTTAGTGGAACGAAAATATGCTCCAAATACCTGTTTAAATTCACGCAAATTTAAGAAAAATCAAAAGTTTTTTTTTTTACTATAAAAACTCAAAAAACAAATTTAACTTAATAAAAATTAGTGCAAAATAAAAACATGCATACAATATACCTGTATGTTTGGTTGCATATATTAAATTATATACGAAAAACTTGTTTTTGACGATTTCGAAAATTTGTGAATATATCTCGACTCCTAGTTCGGTGCGAATATATAGTGTGCGTGCTGTTTTCGCGTTTCCTTGGTCGCGTTGCGCTCGCCGGCCCCCGTATTGATTGAACCGGGCGATGTCCATTCCCGCCGCCACCATCTCTTCGCGTTCGGGCGTCTAAATTATGCGTGAGTATGCGTGAGCGTCAAGGCACTGACTTTGCACATCCTGGCAAGCAAGCAACCGCGCGCCGCCGCTCTACCGCGCGTCCCTCGGCCCTGCAGTCCTTCACTCCAATCTGCGGAATATTCTCTGCGCCTAGTTTAAAGCAAACATTCCAATTTTCAATATGAAATATATACATGTACACGCACGTAGACACGAAATGAAATCAACTGAGGGTCAGAAAATCGCAAAATATTCATCGCCTCATAAAACAAAGAAAACACGCGTGTGTTTTGGGTTGCATATTAAAGCAGACAACTTAAAAATAATAAATATTAAATAAACTTCGTCGTGTATAGCTGTTTTTAGACTTTTTTGCATTTTTCTATCAAGATAACCGAAGTTTGCGTTAATTGCTGCACGTATCCTCCCTCGCTGCGTA